GCGTGTGGGCGTGTGGGCATGTGGGCGTGTGGGCGTGTGGGCGCGTGGGCGTGTGGGCGTGTGGGCCTGTGGGCCTGTGGGCCTGTGGGCCTGTGGGCGTGCGGGCGTCTGGGCGTGTGGGCGTGTTGGCGTTTGTGCGTGTGGGCGTGTGGGCGTGTGTGCGGGTGTGCGGGTGTGCGCGTGTGCGCGTGTGCGCGTGTGTGCGTGAGCTTGTGTGCGTCTGTGCGTGTGTGCGTGTGTGTGCAGGCGCGCGTGTGTGCCTGTGTGCGTGTCAGCGCGTGGGCGTGTGGGCCTGTGGGCCTGTGGGCCTGTGGGCGTTTGGGCGTGTGGGCGTGTGGGCGTGTGGGCGTACTGGCGTTTGTGCGTGTGTGCGTGTGTGTGTGTGTGTGTGTGTTTGTTTGTGTGTGTGTGTGCGTGTGCGTGTGCGTGTGTGCGTGTGGGCGTGTGGGCGTATGGGCGTGTGGGCGTGTGCGCGTGTGCGCGTGTGCGCGTGTGCGCGTGTGCGCGTGTGCGCGCGTGCGCGCGTGCGCAAGTTTGCGCGTGTGCGCGTGTGCGCGTGTGCGTGTGGGCGTGTAGGCGTGTGGGCGTGTGGGCATGTAGGCGTGTGGGCGTGTGGGCGTGTGGGCGTGTGGGCGTGTGGGCGTGTGTGCGTGTGCGTGTGTGTGTGTGTTTGCGTGTGTATGCGTGTGTGCGTGAGGGCGTGTGGGCGTGTGTGCGTGTGTGCGTGTGTGCGTGTGCGCGTGTGCGCGTGTGCGCGTGTTCGCGTGTGCGTGTGTGCGTGTGTGCTTGAGTGCGTGTGTGCGTGTGTTTGTGTGTGTGTGTCTGTGTGTGCGTGTGTCTGTGTGCGCTTGTGTGTCAGTGTGCGTCTGTGTGTGTCTGTGTGTGTTTGTGTGTGTGCCTGTGTGTGTGTCTGTGTGTCTGTGTTGTTTTTTTTTTGTGTGTGTGTGTGTGTTTGTCTGTGTGTGTCTGTGTGTGTGTGTCTGTGTGTGTGCTTGTGTGTGTGCTTGTATGTGATTGTGCTTGTGTGTTTGTGTCGTTCTCCAGGCTCCTGCGGGCAGTGCGCTTCTCGGAGAGCCTCAGGCTGATGATATTCGCGATCCTGGCGTCGATCGGGTCCCTCTTCTGGACACCCGCCGTGAAGAGGGCCTTCACGTGTGGGCGTCGCAACAAAACAACGCGACAGCCGGTGTTTAAAGACTTCTCTTGTCCCTCGAGGCCATTTACAAGCCCTGGGACCATCCACACCAAAATGACGCAGGCTGACATATGGGACAGAGCGCCAGTGGATCCCCCTCTAGTTGACAAGGGGGTGTGCTCGCATAGCCCCGCCCCTCCCCTCTTTCAAGGGGTGGGTGGGGTGTTTTTGGATCACGCCCCTTTTTCAATGTCATGGGAGGGGAGGTCGGACCCCCCCTTCTTCCCCTCCTCCCTTCGTCCTGGCAGGAGGGAGGATAACACCCCCTTTGACAGGGGGCCCTCAACTCCCAATCACCTGTGTCCCTCTGGCCTCCGGACGACCCGATACGTTCCCCCAGCCTCTGCAAGCCTCGTCGACGAGCGGGCCCCGGGAAGGCTCTGACAGGAGGAGGAGGAGGAGGAGCAGCAGCAGCAGCAGGAGAACGCAAAGGCGGACGGGGGGGAGGCGGAGGAGGAGGAGGAGGAGGGGGAGGAGGAGGAGGGATTAAGATATTAGTCTTCGATTTTTTGGGCTAGGGCCAGAGGGTTAGGGTGTCAGGGTAAGGGTCTTGAGGTTAGGGACAAGGTATCGGGGTTAGGGTGCTGGAGTTCAGGTGTTTCTAGGGCGGTAGGGCTAGGTGTCGTGTGTTAAGGCTGCTGCTTCAGGGTGTTAGTGTCAGGGTGTTGGATTTACGGTGCTACGGTTGCGGTGGTAGGGTTTAGGCATTCGGGCGTTAGGATTAGGGTTTTAGGGTGTGAGGGTGGTGTTAGGGTTAGGGCGTTGAGCTTAGAATCGTTCGCGTCGACCTCCCTGCCGCTATTACTTGCCGCCGCCGCCGATCGTCCGTTAGTTGTATTGCTGCTGAAGCCGCTGCGTCCGCAGCTGCAACTTCCACGAACAGGAGCGCAATTCGTGTTCTGCTGAAAAACAGGGGCGCGCACGCAGGCACGCGCATGAGTTTCTCCCTACCGTTATCCTCATCCTTGGTTCTCCCTGCTATTTTCAGATGAGCCAAAGACAAGAGCACCCTGATCTACGAGACCAGATTAAGGAGCATACTCACTTGTCCAGATTTGTGGATCATTTGGCACATCACTGGTTACCAGCCGGAAATGAGATGGGATACCAGCGCGATGATGAACGTCATCAGCTGGACCACGAAAACTACAACGTCCAGACACCGATGCATCTATCAAGTGGGCAGACATGTGAAACATACCCTCAAGGAGATCATGTAGAAGACCCTCTGTTCGCGCACCGTCAACCGCAAGCACATCGCGTCGCGAGTCCCGAGGAGCGTCCTCCGATGCCCCGGCATGAGAACCATCCCGGGGAAATCCCTTCCTCGCCTTCACAGTCGAAGGACGATTCGGACCTCGCCATCAAAAAAGGGCTGCGCCGGTGCGAAGGAGCAGGGCCCCCGCCCCAGCCCGCGCGAAAGGCGCTGGTCTGCCGAAGGACCCCATTTGCCCAAACGAGGGCATGGCGCAGATGAGAGGAGGCCCTGCCTCACGCAGCTGCGCCGCCTCCGAAAGCCATCAGCCGACGGTCGTCGTTCTTGCTGAACCGACCTCCCAAGGGCCCCTGCGTTGGCGCTGGGATTATCAAGCCCATTGGTCCCAAAGCCTCGTTTACAATTGAGGGCGGGCCAAGCGCCGCGCGTTCGCCTCTGGCATCCGCGAAGGGGCGAGAACCTCTGGCGACCGCCAATAGCCACCCGACACGTTTCCAGACGCTGACGCCGGGGAGCAACCTGCCCGAATTCAGGCAGCGGCAGCGGCAGTGGGCTGCCCAGGGAAGTGTCGCCCGAGAGGATGCGTCTGCTAGTTTCAATCAATTCTGGCACATCCAGGCGGGCGCGAGAGGCAAGCGAGGCGCTTGACAAGCAAGGCGCTTGTCAAGCAAGGCTGCGGAAAGAAGCCGCGCGTTTTCCCTGCGCAGTCCCCCGCGCCCAGCGCTGTCGACGGTGGAGAGCGTGCCCTGGGGTCGAGCGCTGACTCTGGGTGTGTCTACGCCGGCTACAGTCAAAACTCATAGTAAGGCTGCACGGATGCCCTCAGGGTACCCTTGCGTCCTTTCCTCTGCGGCCTGTCCTTCGCCGTTCTCGCTGGCCAGCCCTTCAGGGTGTTGGCAGTCCGCCGCCCAAAAAGTGCCAACTTCGGCGTCTAAGGCCTTTGCGTCCTTGCCGCCCGTCTTTCTTATAGACTTCGACTGTGCGTCCCTGCTGTCTCTGCGATCTTCGGTGGCACTGCCTCCGGGCCCGCGCCCTGTCGGGCAGACGCGTCAAGTGGGCGCGGCGCGCGGAGGGGGCGAACCCCCGCCTCTTCCCAGTGGGCGCGGCTGAACCCTCAGACGGGGCCGGCGGCGCGGCCAGTGATTCCGCCCTCCAGAGGCAGTTCCAATCTCAGACATGATCGCGTCGTGAAAAAGTCAGGACGGGAGGTTTTTGGCCAATTTCGGCCTCGGGGGGCCTCGCTGGGCCTCGGGACCGTCAAACAACGAATCAGGATGATTTACCAGTCCCGGGGAAAGGGTCGGGACTTCCAGGGACCGCGTGTTATGAAAATATCAGGACGTCGTATGTCTGGGATAGGACAAGTTCGGGGGGGGTCGACGCTTCCCCTATCAGTGGGATGGACAGGGAGAAGGGCCCCCCCCCTGCCAGGACCACGGTCTCGTCCATGAGCAGAATGTCTTTGGCGGACTGCTGCTGAAATCCCACCCTTCTGCGCTCGGAATGCTGAAGGCCGCTGCCCAGGGAGTTCGGGTCGGTGCCGAAGACCCGTCGATTGCGCCCGGTCGGAGATTTTCCCCCGATGCAGCGTGAAATCCACACGCGGCGAGTGCCCCCGGCAGAACAGGCACAATTTGCTTAGCGAACAGACGGAGTTGGGGGCGGCTCAGCAGCAGGATGCCGCGCCCGAAATCGAACGCATGGACGAACGCTCACCTGGACGAGAGGAAGAAGCGGCGGCGGACGGCGGCGGACGTGGCCGAGGAGGCGCGGGCGAGCGCAGGGGCCAAGGCCAAACAACATGCCACCGACGAGGCCGAGAATCACGCTCGCGTTGCCCGAGTCCTCTTGGATGCGGGGCACGGCATGATGATGCTGCGCTGTCGGGGGGGGGAAGAGGCGAGACAAGGGCTCGCGCTGATTGCACCATCAGGACAAAGGAGCTAGAACTGATGGGATGGCAGGCCGAACAGAACGGCAAGGCTTACTCGGAACAGAGCATGGTCGAGGGAGCTGGATGAGGGTTGAGGGTGGCACGGCTGCGCCCCTGGGCGCTGCCGCCAGTGCCGTCGTCCAACGGCCAGGCGCGGCCGCTGCCGCCCTTGCGGACGGGGTCGCGGCAGTCACGGGCGGTGGGCACATAATCCAGTGCTACTCGTGTGTTCAACAGCGATGCGCCGGCTGTCGACTGCCAGAAGCCATGCGGCAAGGATCACATCGGTGCTCATCTGGGGAGATGCCGATGCCGCGAAAAGAAAAGCCAGGGTCGTCGAGGACGCCCCCAAGAGAGACCGCGAAGAAGAAGAGGGGAAGGCGGCGGCGTCAGCGTGAAAGTGTGAACAGAGGCTAGCTGGACGAGACGAGAGCCGAGGAAGCGAGCACCGAACGCGCCGAAGCCCCGACACTTGCCGAACGTTGAGGTCCGGGCCAAGACAGACCCTAGCGCGCCCCATCATGGCCGTTGAGCTGCGGTTCCACGAAAGAGACAGCTGAAAGGCGGCGCGAAGAGCTGGCTATGGACCGCGAGAAACGGGAGGCTGCCCAAGTTCACAATAGGGCCGCGGCACGTGAGCAGCTGCATCGCGCCGCAATGATATCAATGGAAGAAGAGGCCGCGCGCTCAGAAATGGTTGCGGAGGCCACGGGTGCTGAGGAAGCGGCCGCAGCTCTATCAAGTGAGGAGTTATGGGGGAGGCACCCAAGAGTCATAAGCCTCACGACGAAAAAACGCTACCCGTTTGGAAAAGGACGGCCGCAACGGTCGTCGCTGCTTCCGTAAACAAATCCGAGGCTGCGCTCAGGTTGGGGGGCGCAGTCGAGAGCCGCGTTCCAGCGGAAGCATTTGGGGGCCCATCCCCTTTTTTCTAGCTTGACTTTGTGATTGCTGCCGGCCTTTTGTCCAAGCGTGGGAAGTTTGCTAAGTCCAAGGGCCAGAGTCAGACCATGAAGCGCCTCCTTGCTGACATCGATCGCGCTGGCGAGGCAGTTCTGAAGCAACAATGCATATTGCAAAGAGGGCCAGGGATCGGAAGAACGATCGTAACACTCGCAGCAGTAAGGGCCTACCATTGCCATGAATATATGTATATATACACATGCAATGGCCGAGTCGCGATGCACATCAGGGGAAGCGCTGCGAATGCTGATGAGGAGCTGCTTGATTTCAACGACAGGTGGCGGATGGTATTCGTGAATATGGACCCTCCGAGTGTACAGATGTGGCCTCCGATGCAGGAACATTACTCCAAGCAGTTGAGGAAGTCTCCCACAGTTGGCCAGATCTTGCAAATTCATGAATTCAGTCTGGAGAACTCAAAATGACAATGCAAAGTCGCGACATTGGCTAGACGCCCGGATCGCGAGAATGATGGTGCGACGGAGAATGAAAGCGAACTGCGTAAAGAAAATTAGTGATCTCAGTGGAGGGGCCCCAAGTGAAGCCCCAGCACCTAGCGAGGCAGGAAGTTCTTTGTAGGCTGTTTGTAGCAGGGCAATGCACTGACGGGCGACGGTCATTATTCAAGCACAGTCCAGCTGCCCCAGTGAAAGAGGCGAACTAGGAGAAGGAGGATAAGATAAACAGAACAGATGATACATTTGATGTCGACGGGGAGGACTCCGGGAGGACCACATAATGACAGCAGAGGGAAGGAAGGCGTCCGCGGGAGGGGCTCCACTCCAGGCCCCTGGGGAGGCACTTCTCAGTCCTCCAGTACCTCCTCTCAGACTTCTCGTGCCTCCTCCAAAACTTCCGCCTCAGCTGCCGGCAGAAAGAAGTTGCCGCGCTGGGTTTGCAGCTGGGGAAGTTGCGATGGTAAATGCGGCGGGAAGGACCCGAGGGCTCACCGAGGCAGAAAATGTTAGGGTGTTAACGTTGTGGTGTTACGGGATAAAGTGTTAGGGTGTTTGTTAGGGTTATGGTGATTGGGTTGGGGTTCGTGATTGAGGTTACGGTGTCAGGCGAAAGTCAGGGCACGGGTGTTAGGTTTCGGGTATTAGGGCTAGGCTGGTAGTGTGGTAGGGGTAGGTTCTGGAGCCAAGGGGCTGGGCTGCGTTGCCAAAGGAGGGGGGGGACTTTCGAGCCACGACCCGCCCACATCCCCTATGGAGACAGGGGGGGGGGGAGAGCAGGGGTGGACCTGAACGGTGTTTTGGCGATTTCGTGGACCGTTTTCGTTTCGATTTCGTTTTGCGTGAAAGGCGGACTGAAGGACGACGGATCGGGAAGGGCGGGGGGACGAGGACGACAGGCCAGGGGGGGGGGGCCGGGGAGGGGGCGGGGGGTCCCGGACGCACTCCGCTCTGGGGGTCCCAGCGACGCGCCTGCGACAAACGAGCCCTTGGGGCAGCGGAGCGCACATCATGAAAATTGCGGCGTCGGAGGAGAGGGGAGGGGTCCTGACGGAAGGGGTTCCCGAGTTTTGTTCGCCGTCCTCGTGCTCTCGAGGCCCTCCCCGGGCTAGCCCGGGCCAGAGGGAAGTCGTAAAATGGTACAGGACGCTTTTCTTTTTCTGGCCAGGATATGGATCGTGCTCTTCTTCATGATCTACTTCTGGGCCGTCTTCTTCCTCAGCGGCATCATCGAGCACTACACGGACGACTCCTCGGCACAGTTCGTGGCGGTGGATTTGGTGCGGGTGCACTTCGGATCCCTGCTCCAGGCTGTCTTGTCGCTGTTCATGTGCATCACGGGTGGTCGCGACTGGTTCGACGTGGTCGAGCCTCTCTGGGAGATCAGCCCTTGGTACACGCTGGCGTTCAGCGTGTACATCTTCTTCATGACCCTGGGCGTGCTGAACGTGGTAGTCGGCTCCTTCGTGGACAACGCTCAGCAGGTCTCCAGGACCTCAAGAGGAGACGAACATAACGATACTGATGCCCTGAGCTTGCTTCCCCCTTTTGGAACCTCCCGGGGCGCCATCGTCGCTGTGGCTGGATTTGCCCAGGATGTCTGGTCATAATGCACCCCGTCAGAGGGTTGGTGAGTAGCAGTATCGGTATCCCCCCCAGGAACGACCGCGAAATGGTGGTGAAGAACGAGATTAAGCAAGAGAGGGAGTACATGGCCCGCGTGCGCGACATCTTCAGCGAGGCGGACAAGGACGCCGACGGCTCCCTGTCGTGGGAGGAGTTCGAGGACTACTTGCAGGACGACCGCGTCGCGGCCTACCTCGGGAGCCTCGGGCTGGACAGCTCCATCGCCAAGACCCTATTCGTGCTCCTCGACGTCGACGACACCAACAGCGTGGGCATCGACGAGTTCGTGGGCGGCTGCCTGCGCCTGAAGGGCCAGGCGCGGAGCATCGACGTGAACATGCTGCTCTACAACAGCGAGAAGATGATCTGCAAGACGACCGACTCGATGGAGGCGCCCTGCCCCCCCCGTGGCGGATCCAGCCGTTAGGGGGCCAGATGCGAACCCTACCCCCGCCCCCCACGATTTCTGAGGGGGAGGGTGGGGTTCACTTCGCTCGGGAGTTCCCGCACGAAGTGAACCCCACCCTCCCCCTCAGAAGTCGTGGGGGGTAGGGGTAGGGTTCGCATCTGGCCCCCTAGCCGTGGCGACGAGGCTGCCCGCGGGGGGCCCAATGGTCGCCTCGCCTCCTGCCCGGACCTCCGACGTTACGACACCTCCGTGGAGGGCTTAGTGGATCCGGCCGTGGCGACGCGGCTGCTCGCGGGGGCCCGATTGCCTCCTCTCGGTCCTGCCCGGACGTCCGACGTCACGACATTTCCCCGGGTCTCCGACGCCGAGATCTATTCGCAGCGTTGACCCCAGCTTGGCATCGCTCGGACGTGTGCATTTTTCCTTCAGCGAGGACCATCGAGGAGCACCCTTGATCATTTGGAGAAAAAACCACGCACGAAACCGACAAAAAACAGGGAATGGACGTCCGAGCGATGGCAAGTGACCCCAGAGGTCTGGACCCCTTCCCCCTAGGCCGCTTTTCATCCCCGGGCTGTTTCTTGTGACGGTCCTAAGGCCCGATGGGGGCTCCTGGAGGCCAGAAACTGAAGCTGCCTGACAGTTGTGGTCGCACTTTGTTTTCGCGACGGGAGGAGGTGGGGTCCGTGACGTGGGCCCCCTGCACCTCTCGGCTACACGTTAGAGTGACCCTTCCGGAGTGACCCGTGGAGCGGGCTCACCAGGGTCCCCCCGATCGCTGAGCGCGATGCGAGAACGGCTGCTTGCGCGCTTGGATTTTATCATCTTGCGCGCCCCTCGGCCCGCGCACTAAATGTATTTGCTCGGAGGCTGATCGACCTCTTACCCTGACACGTCGATTAGCGAATTGGCCGTTATCGGTTCGCGAGAGTGCGTCGCGGCCGTCATTTTTGCGGGTCCAGGTCCGTCGGTTTCGGTCCTAGGCCGTTTTCATTAAAGGGTGGCTTACTAGAGGGAGGTTTGTCCACCGCCGATTTGCCCCGGGTCACTCTTGCGTGTAGCCAGCCCTGCATGTCTCCTGGGGGTCGCTTTCTCGCACAGCGCTCCGGTCGAGTCGCCAGCGGCCTTGGCCCCTCCCTCCCGGACTTGGTCTCGGGGGGTCGGAGGTCCTCCTCCTCCTCCTGCTCCTCCCTCCTCCTCCATCTCCTCCTCCATCTCCTCCTCCCCCTCCCCCTCCTCCACCTCCTCCTCCCGCCGCCTCCTCCATCTCCTCCTCCCTCCTCCTCCTCCTCCTCCTCCTCCTCCCTCCTCCTCCTCCTGCCTCCTCCTCCTCCTCCTCCTCCTCCTCCTCCTCCCTCCTCCTCCTCCTCCTCCTCCTCCTCCTCCTCCTCCTCCCTCCTCCTCCTCCTCCTCCTCCTCCTCCTCCTCCCTCCTCCTCCTCCTCCTTCTCCTCCTCCTCCTGCCTACTCCTCCTCCTCCTCCTCCTCCTCCTCCTCCTCTCTCCTCCTCCTCCTCCTCCTCCTCCTCCTCTCCTCCCTCCTCCTCCTCCTCTCCTCCCTCCTCCCTCCTCCTCCTCCTCCTCCTCCTCCTCCTCCTCCTCCCTCCTCCTCCTCCTCCTCCTCCTCCTCCTCATCCTCCTTGTCCTCCTCCTGTCCTCCTCCTCCTCCTCCTCCTCCTCCCTCCTCCCTCCTCCTCCTCCTCCTCCTCCTCCTCCTCCTCCTCCTCCTCCTCCTCCTCCTCCTCCTCCTCCTCCTCCTCGGGTCGCCTACGGCTCCGGGGGAAGCCGTGCACCCCAGAGGTTTTGTGGAAGCTTCCCATCAGAAGGGTCAGCGCATTTTAACAAGCTTGATTCGACATCACCCAAACATACAGTCGGCCCTGACGAGTAGGTCAACCCTGCCAATTCAAGGGTACCCCTGCGTCCTGTGTCCTATGGCGGTGTGGCCCTCGGAAGGGTTTTGTGTCCTCTTGCGTGTCCTGTCCAGCCAAGCCCGACTGTATTCAGGCAGCGTGTTCGTCGGCCCCGCAGGGGCGACGCACGCGCTCCGAAATCTCAGCGCACATGCTCGGTGAGGGGCGTGTTCTGCCCATACCGCCCGCGCAACGGTGTAGCCCTCTCCTCCTCGTCCTCCTCCTCCTCGCTTTCCTCCTCCTCCTGCCTCCTCCTCCTCCTCCTCCTCCTCCTCCTCCTCTTCCTCCTCCTCTTCCACCTCCTCCTCCTCCTCCTCCTCCTTCTCCTCCTCCTCCGCCTCCTCCCCCTCCTCTTCGTAGCCAGTTTGGCTCAAGATGTGCGGTTCCCGCGGGGGCCAAACGGAAACCGCTAGTCCGCGGCAACTTTCGTTTCGCGCGGCCTGTCCCCTCAGGTTAGGACCATCGCCTGTGCTAGCGCGCGGGCGGCTCCTGGCGTTGGCGGGCACTGGAGGCGCTGCGAGGGCGACAACGAGTGCAAGATGGCTGGCGGCGTGCCGCGGGCCAAGGGTACAGTGCGGCAGGACTGGAAGTGCAAGTCCTGCGTCAGCAAGAGAGGGCGAGCGGTCGTCAACTGGGGGGCGGCGCTCAAGTGCCAGGGCTGCAGGCTGCCCAAGGCCACGTGCTTCTGGGCGAACGTCGCCCTCCTTGCGGCGGCCAAGTCGAAGTCGAAGTCGGGTGCGGCGCCTGGCGGCGGCAGCGGCAAGGCCCCTCCCTGGGCTGGGCGGCCGCTCTCGGTGCAGCTGGCCCAAGCGCAGCGCGAGCTTGCGGACCCCAAGAAGCAGCTCAAGGCCAGTGGGCCTGCCAGTGCTGGCGGGCCGCTCGGCGGGGCGCAGGCCATGGAGGTCGACGTCGGCGAGGGCGCTGGTGCTGGCGACGCGGCGGTGCTCGCCGAAATCCACATGCGCGAGTCGGGCCTGCACGCCATCAAGGATCAGGCGGCGGACTGGGTCACGGCGCCGCGGGAGGAGCTGCGCGCCAGGCTGGAGAAGGCCATTGCGCGGCTCTTCGCCAGCAAGCCACCCCACGCACGGACGCACGCAATCGCCAACAAGGCCAAGCATGTGCGCCGAGCGCCTGGAGAAGGCGGATGGCAACGAGTGGAAGGCGCAGGAGTCCTTGCGGCGGGCTGTGGAGGAGGTTGAGCGCGCGGAGTATGTGCATGCAGACTTCTTGGGGCAGCAGGTGGCGCTGCAGGCCGACCTGGTGCAGCTGCAGCAGCAGGCGCCCCAGGCTCCACCGCCGCGGCCTGCGGGCCAGGCCATGGCGCAGGACGTCATCGGCGGGCTCGGCATCACGGTGGGCGAGCTGGAGGCCGTCGTGTTGCAGCAGCTCTCGGCCCACCCAGACGAGGAGCAGCCAGTGCCAGCGGAGGCGCAGAAGCGCATGGTAGGCGTGCTGGGCGTGCGCATTGCGGAGTTGTGCATGTCCAAGCGGGCGCGGTGCGTGGAGGCTCCCGCCGGGGAGCAGGCCAGCGCCAGCCAGGACCTCGCCAGCGCCGCAGAAGAGGTGCGTGATGGCGCAGAGCGGGACGGGCAGCCCCAGCCAGCGCCCGAGGCAGCAACGCCTGGAAGCGGCAGCGGCTCGGCCGTCGTGCCGCGCTGGCAGCCCGAGGCGGAGTCGGTAGAGCAGCTCCAGCAGCGGCTGCGGAAGCATGACCTGGAGCTCGAAGGCGGCGAGGAGTCAGACGCGCGCGCCCCCTGCGCTGCGCTGGCCAGCGTGGGCCTCCAGCTTCACTAGGACCCTGCTGATCCTCAGCACGTGGTTTGGCGCCATGGCGAAGGGCAGCACCTTCACGGCGAACGTGGCGGCGGGGGGGTCCCTGGCGCCGTGCGTCGAGGGCATCTGCGAGCGGGCAGAGGCCGTGGTCCTCCTGGTCCAGGAGCATCACGCCAGGGACCACGACAGGCTGGCCGCCCTGCAGCAGGCCGTGCTGGACCACGGGTACGCGGGGCTCTGGGCGCCAGCGGTCCAGGGTCCCCGCGGCGAGGTAGGCGCCTCTGGCGGGGTGGCGGTGCTTGCGCGCTCGCACCTTTCTGGAGGGCCCCGTACTGCTGGCCGCGCGTCTGGTGGCCGCCCATGCGCACTGGGGAGTGGCGGGCGGGTTCGTCGCCATTCCTGCGTACTTCCACGACAGTGTGGGGTGGAACGCGGACAACCAGCACGTGGCGGCCGTTCTCATGAAGTACTTGGCCAAGCTCAGCGCGGCTGGGATCGACTGGGTCGTGGGCGGTGACTTCAACGTGGAGCCCGAGAAGTTTCCTGTGCAGCAGCTCCACGGGGTCCGCGGGCTGTGGGCGGCGGCAGAGGATGCCACCTGCAGGCCGCGTGCCGGGGCCTGGTCGACGCTGGACTACCTTCTCTTCGCAGCCAACCGTGCTCCGAGGCTTGGCAGGCCGCGGGCCGACGAGCACGGCGCGACGAAGCCGCGCCTGCCCGTCGCAATGGAGACGCACGCGCAGCACCTTCCGATGCAGGTACGGGTGGTGAGGAGCCGGCGGCCGATCGGCCCTGCGCCGCCCGCGGGCTGCAGCCGCGGCGTCGAGGATTGGCGCAGGCCCCTGGCCGAGGTGCGCGCAGCCGTCAGCCGAGAGCACCCCCCGAGGCATGGGGCGCCGTGGTGGCTACAGTCGAGCAGGAGCTCCTGGACCGCTGCGACGTCGTCGGGCATGACAGGACCAAGTACGTCGTCAGGTCTGGCGCTCTGGAGACGACTCTCATCGCTGTCAAGTGGCGACCCCCTCGACGCAGGACCGCGCTTGGTCGCCAGGCCGCGGCGCGCCGCGTGGCGTCGAGGTAGGCTCGGCACCCGATGGGGGGTCGGGGCGTACGTCGCCAAAGCGGTCCGCCAATTCCACGGCGCCAGCCTCCTCTGCTCGCTGTCCGAGGCCCAGTTTGACAAGCTGGCGGGGTTCCTGCTGGAGGCGGCGGCGTACCTCGACAAGATCATCGCCAGTCGCGGCACGCTGGCGCTCCTGCCGCACTGGGTGCAGGACTTCTTCGGCCAGCGGGTGCTGATGTTCGCGCAGGCCGACTTCGCGGGCCAGGCGCCGAGGGTCGCAGAGTACGCTAACGGTCAGTATGAAGCGGCCCTCGCGGCGCAGCAAAAGGAGTGGGTCAAGCGGGCCAACGAGTCATTCTCCCACGGAGCTGGCCGCGCCCATCGGTGCTCCAAGGGTAGGGAACTTGCAGGAGGTGGTCACTGCCTGGCATAGCCAGCAGCAGGACGCGAGCCCGCACCTGGTGTGCGATCGGGAGATGCAGCCGCGGGCACAGGCGTGGCGGTGCCATGGGCTGCCGCAGGCTCGCAGGCCTGCGGGCATTGAGGAGTGGGATGCGCTGCCCGAACTCACCGTCGACAAGATGAGGAGGGCTGCGCTCTCATTCCCCACGGGCACGGCGATGGGGCCTGCCAAGATAGGCATGCGTGCCTTGTCTTTCCTGTCCGAGGACGGCATGTATGTTTGCGCGCAGGTCTTCACGCGCATGGAGGAGTTGGGCGCGTGGCCTGAGGGCCGCTTGTGGCACGCCATGCGTCGGCTGCCCAAGCCCTCTGGAGGGTGCCGCCTCATCGCGCTCATGCATCATTTGGTGCGCTGGTGGTCGAGGGCGCGGGCGGACATCTCCAAGGGCTGGCTCGCGCAGCACCCCGGCGTCGACATCTGGGGGCTCGGCGCGGGCAGGTCGTTGTCCGATGCAGTGTTCGACCTGAACCTCGAGACCGAGGTTGCGGTCGCGTTGGAGGAGCAGGTGGTCACCGTGCTCCTGGACGCCTGGAAGTCCTTTGAGACGGTGACCCCCGAGGCCCTGATACAGGAGGCGTGGCTGCTCAAGTTGCCGCTGCCGCTGGTCTGGCTTTTGGCGGAGCTCTACAGGCAGCCCAGGCGGCTGCAAGCGTTCGGCTCGGTGTCCTACGATGTTGTGTCCTACCAAGGGGTGCTGGCTGGATGCACGCACGCGTGCGCGCTCGTGTCGGTGCTGATGCACCGCGTGCTGGAGTGGGCGCGCTGCATGGGCGTCGCTCCCAGGGCCCTCGTAGACGACGTCACCCTTCAGTGGGTCAGGACCGCGGGCAGCAACGTCGGCGTCTTGTGGGCCGCGGTCACGCGCTTCCGCGAGGAGGCCAAGCAACTGGGCATCATCGCGCAGCCCGCCAAGTCTGGCTACGTGACCTCGTCCAATGGCCTAGCCGCAGAGTGCAGGAAGCATGCGGGATCCCGCGGCTTGCAGCTGCTACGCTGGGCTCGCAATCTAGGGCATGACCTTGGAGGAGGCAGGATCCAGCGACGGCGGGCCAAGCTGCGGCTGAAGGCGCAGGCGCGGCGGCGCGGGCGCCTGGCGGCGTTGAAGCGTGCTGCGGGCCGCAAGGTCACCGTGCTGAAGCGCACGGGGCTGCCAACTAGCGCCGGCCGCGGCGCGGACGTCGCGGGCGTCTCCGACGATGAGTTGCAGCGGCTGCGGGCTGAGGCCAGCCGGCTGGCGGGGGCGCGGCCAGGCCCGTCGGGCGCGACGATCTACCTGGCCACGCAGCGCAGCGCGAGGTTTGATCCAGCCTACGTGGCGACGGTGGCGCTCGTGGTCAGGTACTCCAGCTGGGTCTGGGAGCAGAGGACATCGTCGTTGGGCAGGCTTCAGCGTGCGTGGGCCTCCATCACGCAGCGGCTGGCCGAGAAGCCGACGCGAGGGCTGGCGCGCGGCCTAATCGCCTCGACGATGCTCACGCTCTGGAGGGTCGGCTGGCACATGCGGTCTAGCCAGGTGCTGGTCACTGACGAGGAGCAGCACATCAGCCGACTCGCCACCCGCCGTCGGACCTCAAGGTTTACCTCGTCGAAGTGGTCAGCCGCTGGCAAGGGCGACAGATCCTGAGCCACTTCGGCGGCGCGCAGCCCACGGGGCCGATCTGGATGCGGGTCCTGAGGCTGCGCGCGGGCGGCAAGGGCGCCGCTGTTGCCGAAGGGCTTGCTGCCACCAGCCTCAGGACCCACTGGGCAGGCACGCCGTGGACCAGACAGGGGCAGCTAGACGTTGGGCTCGCTCCCGATGGCAGCTGTCTGGCGCGCGGAGCGGAGGCGGGCCCCTTGGCGGGCGCGCCGGTGCACGACGAGCGCAGTTCGGTCGACGACAGCTCCGAGGAGGGCACCGACGGGGCGGTCGTGGCCCATGGCTACGCGGAGGCCCCGCTAGCGGACTCGCAGGGGACCGCGACGCGCGGGTCTCCCGCAGCGCCGCGTGGCGGGCGCACGGAGGAGGCCCACCCAGAAGGCGGGTGCGCAGGAGACCGCGACACGCGGGGCCCCCGCAGAGCTGCGAGGCGGGCGCACGGAGGAGGCTCCACTGGCGGACGTGCATGGGGACCGCGACGCGCGGGGCTCCTGTACCGCCGGGAGGTGGGCGCACGGAGGCCAGCCGCCTGCTTGCGGAGGTTGCGGCGCGCCGCAGCGCTTGCGCGGCGCCAGCGCCGTCCTGGCAGGAACGGCTGGAGGTGCTGCGGCGGCGCGCTGCGACTCGCGAGGCTGGCCTGGCGGGCGTTGCCGCTGGTGGGGCTGGCAGTGTTCCCACAGCGCAGGTCGTGGAGGCGTTGACCGACACGGGGTGCGCTGTTGGTGATCGCGCCGAGCCATGGGCAGTGCGGAGGCAGGCACTGCTGCGGCGGCTCCAGGCGCGGGCCGAGCGGCTCTGCGGCGGCGCCGGGGTGGTCCCCAGGGAGGCGCCTGCGGGCTTTGCCGCGCGGCTGCGGCGGCGCGGCATCCGCGTGGCGCGGCCGCCGCCCAGGGCGGCCCTGCCGCAGCGGCCGCCGCGGCCGCTGGCCCTGGAGCGCAGGCTGGACCGCTGGGGGCGGTGGTGGATCGAGCCGCTGCTCGACGTCGACGGCGCGGCCAGCGACTGGCTCGACCACTGCGTCCCGTACGCGGAGGCGGTCCTCGCCCAGCCCAGGTGGCGGCGTTTCCTAGGGGCGATGGGCAGCGCGGCTGAGCAGCTGGCGGAGGCGCGGCGCCGCCGCGCATGGCGCCGCGGAGCGAGGCTGCGCGGCGCCTACGCCAGGTATCGCTCGGGCCTCACGCTGAGCCAGATGTGCGTCACCGACAGCATGCGGAGGTGCGAGGTGCACTGCCTCCGCAGCTGGCTGGCGGCGCCTGCGGGCCTGCCGCCCGCGCTGGGCTGGGCTCGGGCGGTGCGCCGCAGGCCGCGGCCTGGGGCGGCGGCGCCTCGCGAGGGCCAGGGCCGCTTCAGCGCGCAGGCGGCGTCGCAGGAGCACAGCGGCGGCGAGGGCAGCGACGCGGGCGAGGGCGTTGCCTGAGCGCGCCCTGTCGCTGTCCTTCTGCGCGCCCAGCGGCGGCGGCGGCGCGCTGCGCTGGCCGCAGGCCGCATCCCCCAGCCGCGGCGGCGACGGTGGCTAGGCGGCGGCCGCCATGTCAGCGGCGCGGTCCACCTCGCGCAGGTGGTGCGGCGCCGCGGCGCAGGCGGTAACACGGTCGTCGTGTCGTTAGGCCTGGCCTTCGACTTCATCTGAGGTCCCCCGAGGCTCTGTCTGCTAGTCAGACGGCACCCTCAGGCTCCTGATCTCTTGATATCCTCCTCCTCCTCCTCCTCCTCCTCCTCCTCCTCCTCCTCCTCCTCCTCTCTTCCTCCTCTCTCCTCCCTCCTCCTCCTCCTCCGCCTCCTCCTCCTCCTCCTCCTCCTCCTCCTCCTCCTCCTCCTTGCAGTAAGATGTTACACGGTAGATGTGCAAGCTGTGTGGAGCCAGCTACGTGATGGAAGCTGTGTGGTGCAGCGCACGTGACGCAAACTAAGCTAGAGGCGGCAACGGGCGGAAACGCGGCGAAACCTCGCCATACCTGCGAGGTGGCCGTGGGCGGCAACGTGATAACGTGATGCAGCGTGACGGAACCTCGCCAGACCCACCCGGCGCACAAGGCACAAGGCGGCCATGAGGCGGCCACGGGCGGCAATTCGGCGAAGCTCCGCCAGAGTCAACACAATTCTTAGTGAGAGAAGTTCGAATCCCTATGTACAAGCACTGTTTGGGGAGTATGTTCGATTCGGATGTGCGCCTCAAGGGAGGTGCGTAGTACCAGCAGGTCCTTCTGCGTCCCATTCGATCGGCGATCCTCGATCCTCGATCCCCCCACGCCTCACCTCGGGTGACTCCGACTGGCCACATTCGGCATTTGTTAGTGGAAGAAACAGCGTATGCGTGTTAGGAGCGAAAGAAGGACGTACACGTACACATGAATCCACGCTGGTTTCGAAGTGCGGATTGCGCGAACTTTCGTATCACGCGGCTGGTCTCGCGGACTGGGGGGCCGTGGTCACGCGCGTGATTGTGCGAGTACGCCTTTTGTGGGCCCCTAGAATGAGTGAGAACATTTATCTTGCGCCGCCGCCGCTGCCTAAGTCGTATTACAGCTCTGCTATACTTTTTATACTTATCTCCCACTGGTTCATGCGTTCACATCTTGCGCGACTCTCCTCTCGTGCTCGTGCATCCCCGATTCGCCTCCCTCTCCTCGTGGCTCGTCCCCCCTGCTTCCCGCCCTCCTGCAGCTGGCCTCGTTTTCCTGTTCCTCCTCCTCCTCCTCCTCGCCCTCCTCGCCTTCCTCTCCTCGTCCTCGTCGGAGGGAGGGGTCTCCGCGCTCCCCTTTTCGACCACCTACGGTACCTCCGCCTCTTCCCTCGCGATTCGCTCCCCTCTTTCATCTCTGCCTTTTCCGGTCCCACGTCCATATCGACCCCCGCCTCCTCATTGTCTTCCTCCTATTCATCTTGTTTATCCTCTCTCTGTTGCGCTGGCATCTTCCAAATTCACGCCGTGGGAGACAAGCTGTACCCGTGGGCTGGCGTGTCAGGCACCCTGGACCAAGGTTGGAGCAGCAGAGCACGGCTACCAGCTTCCGGACCTCTTGTGCCCGATGTGTTTGATGGCGATAGGCACGGCGTTGATAGTTCCTGGCTTGTGCTGAGTTGCGTTTTGAGATTTGTTGGGTTGATTTCCAGTTTAACATCACGTTTGGTGAGGATTTGAGCACGCATGATCAAGCGTTGTAGTCCTACGACATATTTTCTGATTATGGTGACTTCTCCCCTGCCCCCACAAGGGTTGAGCCGACGGTGCACCACGCTGACGATCCCAGCCGTGACGATCACTTCCTGAAAAGTAAAGTGTTCATAGACGGGTCATGTTTGCGGTCAGTCATAGAGGAATTCTCTCGGACGGGGTGGGTGTACATGGGTGTCTCCGATTCTGGGCAAGAGTTGGGTCATGTGTACGCTCCCCTCCCACTCCCACAGACCGTTCAGGCTGGCGAGCTTGCTGCGTGCACTGCTGCTTGCCAGAATTCTCTGGAGGGTTCTGAGGGCTCTAGTGGCTGTCAAGATGTCAAGATGTTGTTGATGTTTGGGTTGCTCCACGAAAGGGAGCAGCAGCTGTCGTCTCGTAGGGGTCATTATGGTAATTCTGCTTGTTTGGACCGATGACTCTGCGATGGGGGTCGGATACAGGAAGGTTCAAGGCCACATGTCGGCCCAGCAGGCCGAAGGGGGCCCGCAGCTTCAGCTCTGTAAGGCTGGTCATGACCTAGCCGACCACCATGCGAAGCTCGGGGCACCGGCTCACGAGCAGTCAAGCCCCGGGCAGTCTGAATGGCTCAACCAAGCCCTGTCTGTTGCGCGTAAAGCAGGCGTGCTTGCTGCCAGATTGCTCCCTTTGTGGCCTCAGTGTGACCTTTCGCAGGCCACGCGTGTCCGTCAAGAGCCGCCTGCCCCTATTCCCAAGGCTCGCCGTTCCTGGCTGAGAGGGACAAGTTCTGGCAGCGCAAGCAATGCTTGAGAGCTACGCGGTCCTGTTGGTCTCCCAACAGAGTTTGCCGTAAAACTCATAAGCTCCGTGACACAAGGTTAATCGAGTTTGGCCGCAGGTGAGTTGATTTCTCCTGCTCGGATGGCACGGTGCTGTGCCTCTGTCTGAAGTGCAGCGCTTTTTCGACTGGCGGGCATGTGCGGTATCCCAACCAGAGGTGCAATGGCAAACTCACTGCGCCCATTCGTCCAATCATTATTGGAGTCGAATCTCCGATGGCAAGCACCCCAAGAGCGAGATGTTGTGGCACGACGTGGATGCCCTCAGTGCCGTTCGGCTTTTCGATTGACGCTCGCTCGTGGGCAGTCTCCTGGTCCCGGCCACAGGACCACTCCCTCGACGGTGGCTTGCAGAGTCTCTACAGACAGCTCAGCATGTATGATATCTGTGTTGAACTCGTCTTCAAGTGTCGTGCTCGACGGCTGCCTGGCTGGCCGCCGGGAGGATGCTGGAATCCATGGCAGAGCAGAGCAGCGGCAACACCCCAAATCCTCCTCTTCTTTTCCCTCCGCCTCCTTCTTCCTTCTCGTGCCTCCCTCGCCCACTCCCCCTCTTTGCAGTGGAGGTGACCCGAGCGCGGAGATGTCCGCGCGCATGCGAGATGCGCCGTTCTCGAGCCCATGCTTCGGCGTGCCCGAGGTCCCCCCCCTCGAAGTAGGCCGTCTCATGTGGAAACTCACGCGTGCCCGAGCGTGTCCGGGGGACGTTTGGGAGAGCTGCAGACCGATGCGTTCCCGAGAGTGCCGCGCCGCGCCACATCGCATAGCTCACCAAGGTGCCCGACCAGAGGGCTCCGCGCTGGGCGTCGGCGCCCGCGCCTACGGCCCGTGTCGCTCGTCGTCAAAACGCTGCCGAAAGCGTGCCCGAAGGCATCCCATGTCCCCCCGAGCCCCTCCACCACTGAGATGCTGCCGCGCGAGCTGCGATAGGACCTCAGATATCCCACCGACGGGGGCTGACACTTGCACTGGGCGCCCAAGAGAGGCCCCCGCCCTCGAGGATCGGAGGAGTTGGCACCCCTTCCTCGGCGGACGGCCGGCAGAAGGCGGCGGAGGCACAACGAGGCCGGTTCCGCTAGGGGAAGGCCGGCGGGAGTAGACATGGGCGCCCCGTAATGGTGGGGGCAGCGAGAGTTGCAGAACAGGGGCCCTTGGGCCCCCCAGAGGAGTGGGCCTCTTCGGGCCCGAGAGGGGGCCTTCAGGGCCCATGAAGTGTACTTTTCTTCACCCCTCCATGTGTCGCCCCCCCCACTGAGCGACGCCCAAAAAACATGGGCCCCGCCAAGAGATGACAAGGTTTTTTGTGCTGACTTATTTGAACCCGCCACATGCTTATTAGGACGTGCAGAGCTGTTATAACGGTTGCATCCGTGCTGTGCGGCTTGCGCAAGTCCCCCAATTACGGTCAGCCATTGTGGTTACCAGTCTTGTTTTTGTCGTTTGTTGTTGGCACTGTGGGGTTATGGATGCGTTTGCTCGTGAGTATTGCCCGCCTTGTGGGAAGCTCCGCCCTCATTTCCCGATCCGTATCCCGGGTGGCTCAAGTTTATCCAGTGATCAAGACGCACGCTCGGCTGAGGCTCGACCATGGCCCTGCCAGTTCCGCCCCGCATCCCCGCGTCTTGGCCTAGCGGCTTGGATCCAGGCAACCCGATGTCCGATGCCTCCGCCGCTTATCGCGGGTTCAACGCCGACGGCGCGGACTTCCGGGCTCGGGAGCTGGTCGGTGAGGCCGACGCGACCGGGGCGATGGCACAGGTTACGCCAAGCGGCTCGGCGAGGAGAAAGCGGCCGCCTCTTGGAACTCGACGGGTCCGAGTTCGCGGGCCGAGAGCGCATCTCGGCCATGGACAGAATCGACGGTGCATCGCGTTGTTCGCGACTTTATCGCCAGCCCAAGGCGCATACGAACGTACGAGGCCCCATTCTTGTCAAAGGTGGAGGCACTCCGCGGCCTGATCGCGCGGGCCCACGAGTTGACGATCGACGACGCGGTGTCAGCCAGGCAATTAATTGCACATCTTCGTGGACAACCATGTGCTGGCACCATGCGAGGACACCGGGTCTGGAACGAGCATCGCGACCACTCCTCGTGCCCGTGGCGGAATGGAGTCGGATCCCGACGCCCAGGTCGGGCCTTCTGCGCTGGGCGCCGAGAAACCCGAGCTGGAGAGCGACCGGATGCCCGTATGTCGATCGTGCCCGACCAGGCCTGCCCCGGGGCCACAGGTTGGATTTGCCGCACTCTTGGCGGTGGCGTCTGGCCGCCCAGCCTCCGGCCCAGCGACGTCGATCCGACCCTTGCCGCGGGCGAGGAGGAAGACTGGCCCATAGCTGGCGCCGGGCCGGCCACGAACGGCCGTCGGCGGACGACGAGGCGCCGCATGGAGGCGCTGGCGTTCCCGGGGGGGCGGGGGGCGGGTCGATCCTGCAGCCCGCCAAAAGGACACCGCCCCGAGCCCTGCGATGCCCCCGCCGCTCTCGGTCGAGCGGGAGGCGACGGTGGCCACGAAGATTTTAGCGGGCGCCCTCGGGGCGATTGAGCGGACCACGCGCGCGCGCGCTGCGAGCGTTCCAGGTGATGAGGCACCTGCTCACGTTGGCGGCCACCCACCCCGTCGGGCCGCCGCGTTCGATGGGGGCTTCAGGATCGGGCGGGCGATCCAGCGACGCGGACGCGCCGATGGACCTGCCGGCGCGCCGGCCAGACGTCAAGCGGGGGGGGGGCGGCAGCGCGCGATGGAGGCGGCGCCCCCCCGCCTGAGCGAGCGGGGGCACGCCCCCGAGGCAGGCGAGGGGCCGAGGGCCCGGCCGCCCAGAGACGCATCTTGCTGAGCATGCAGGGCGGCGACGTGGGGGAGAACGACGTGGTTGACCAGCTCGAGCACGGCAGCGGTGGCGGCGGCCAGGCGGCAGCCAATGCCGCGGGCGCGTCGAGGGCCCCAGGGGCGGCGACCGCGCCCGCTCGCCCCTTTGGCTCGCAACCCCGGCTATTCAGCTCTCGAGGTTGCAGGAGGGGCGAGGCGCCTGCCCGCGGAGCTCTTCCCGCCCCCAACTCCTCGCGCCTCTCGCATTCAGTTCGTCAGAGACTTCGGCATCCGCGCGCTACAGGGTTTCGGGCTGACGAGGCAATTCAGTTCTTGAGAGAGTCCCACGGCGCGATGTCATCGTTGTCTTCGATATTGCCAGCGGCTTGCAGAGGCGCGGCCCAGCAAGCGGCTCCGCGCGCAGTTCCGTCTCGCGCCCAACCCGCTGAACTGCCTTCGTCGCTTCGTCGGCGACAAGCCGCTCGCGAGCTTTTCGGTTCCAACCTCTGCTGCGAAGGCGGGGGGGCCTCTAGTAATGTGGCCAAGTGAGAACTATAGCGCCACGCTGACTGCCGCGCCGGATGCGACGGAGCAGCCCCCCGCCGCGCATGATGCGATGGACCCTGCTGGGAATCAATGTCTTCGGGAGCCCCCGCTGCGCATAGCGTCGGCTGATGGCGAGCTCGGGCAGGAACACGAGAGCGAGCCACCGGCCTCCCCGCGCACGGGCAAGATTGTAGCTGATGGCAGCGCCCAGCACACCAGGTTCGTAGCCGAGCTCGGCCGCCCCCGCGCGTTTAGGCGCGCTCTGGAGCGCGGCCTTTTCTGCGCGCGCGGCGCCAACGGGCTGGAGCTGGGCGGCGCGGGTGGCCCAGCGGGCGGGTCGCCCGCCACCGGGTGCCGCGCAGCGGCGTTGCGCCCGCCGAGATCATCCTCGGCGACGATCGGCCCGAGCCCGACACGTCGTCGGGAACGCCTCGACGCGCTCGCCCTCGTTCAGAACAGCAACCTCGCCGGCTCAGGCTCAGCGAAGGTCGGGGCTGCAGGCGATGCGCCCGCGGCGCATTCCGCGAGATCGGCCCCGCCCCCCGCGCGCCCCACGGGCCCTGGGCCGACGAGCGCCCGTGAGATCACGGAGCGCGAGAGGCCGGTCGCGCCCGCGGGCCGCAAGCTGGACCTCCTGGGAGCCACGGGCCCGCTGCTTCTCGGTGTCGCCCGCGTCGGCGGCAGAGAGAGTGATCGGTTCTCGGGGCACAGTGCCCACTTGCGCTTGCTTCGTCGATGCCTTTTTCGATCGGCCACCACGGGCGTGCCATCATCGCGGCTCGCGCCTCAGGCCGACGCTGCGCCTTGGAGTCGGTCCGCAGAGGAGTTCGGCGGTTCATTGCGCCATTGTCGTCGCGGTGGGCGCGGCCCGATCGACCGCGGAGCGCCAGGGCCAACACGCGCCTCACTTGCTTTGCGGCTTGCTTGGGAGCCTTGGATCCAGAGGTCGTTGGTAGGGCGGGGTGCGCCAAGGATAATTCAGGTGCAACTCGGGCATTCCAGTCATCGTGGCTCGGGATCGCGGACTCTCTTCTAGCCCTTAGACCCCTGGTCCTGACGTCTCTGGCAGCATCGACACCGTCTAGCCCACGCGTGCCCAAGACATTTCGGAGGTTTGGGGGGTCAACGTGATCCGTTCAGTGTTCTTGGACCCCGAATATCGGCATCTTGATTTCGCTGCTCCCTTCCAGGAGGTCGAAAACGATTCGTTATATAGGGCAGGGGCTCCGCGGCAGCCCTTCGACATCAGCTTCGCTCCTTGGGTTCATTCGGATGCTCACTGTTACGAATCGGAGACGATCCATCGTTGATTTTTGCTTCAGACCAATGGGGATCTTCTGCGCCAGGTTTACCTGAGAATCTGCCGACGCTTACTCGCCCTCACACTCGCCGTTGGCGTGCAGGTGCCCCATCGGTGGCATCCCGCAGCTGAACGTCGCTAATGGTGACTCGCGCCTCCGGGAGGCCGGGAGCGCCCGCCCCCGCGGTAAGGAGGCGCCCCTCTTCGTCCACGGCCCGCGCAAGGCAGGCCAGGTCGATTCCCCTTGTCGCCCCTGCTCTCATCCGACATCCACGTCGCGCCCCTCTTTTTGCTGGGCGCGGCCAACGACCTGGCGCGGGCAGCTAAGAACGGTCTCGTCGCTGGGGTGCCCAGGGGTCCTGCGGCAGCCGCGCGAACGCTGCCTCCGCCGGGGTTCGGCGATCGATTCTTTGGAGCGCGCCGGCGCCGCGATTGCCGGCTGGCCGCAGAGATGCACGCCGACGGCTACGAGGGGTCTGTGGCGCAGGTTCTCCACGCAGTCTGGCAGGCAACATGCCGCATGCCCGTCGGCTGGCAGAGGGGGGGCACCGCTGCCGCGAATCCCCCCAGCCGTCCAGACGCGGGGTTGGGTGCGCCCCGCTGTTGCTCGGCCGCCGACGCCGTGGATCGCGGCAGCGCTGATAACCTTCCAGATGGTCGAGTTGGGGCGAGCCGCCGGCAACGGGGCTCGTAGTTTGATGCCTCCCGTTCTACCCGAGGCCGTCGGAGGGGCGGAGCCTGCAGGTGGCCGACGCCATCGCCCCAGTTTCCCCGACCCAGAGGCTCGCGGCCACCAACTTTCACTCAGAGGAGCGAGGTCGGACATCAGAGACCATGGCGACGAACGAGAGCCTGCTCATAGATCACCCTGCGAGGCTGCTTGGGAGCCGAACGTCGATGGAGGCCGCGAGGCTGGCGGTGGGCCAGCGCAGCTTCCCGTTCGCGACGCCGTGGTTCCGCGTTCCGTCCCATGCCGTGCAGATGCACCGCGGGATGGGGGCGGCCCACGGCCCGCATCAGACGAGGCACGGCGGGCCGTCGGAAGACGGGAGGGGGCGGTGCAGGGGCCCCGCGGGAGGTGGAGCAGCGGGGCCGTCGGGGCGCCGACGCTTCGGCGCGGCGCTACCGGGCGGCCGCCTGGCTCGCAGCGAGAGGAGGCGAGGTCCCTGGCGCGCGCGAGGGCGCAGGCCAACTCGGCCGCGGCGGCGCTGCCCGCCGCCCTGATGAGATGGGGACTGAAGCCCGCCTGTGTCAGCACGCAGCCCCCGTGGCAGGAGAATGCCGACTGCCCTCGGCGTTCCGATGTCCAGAAATGTTGTCAAGTCCAGGCTTGGTGCTTGGTCGCGACGAAGGAGTCACGAACCCCTCGTCGGAGGAGCCGCGCCAGGAAGGCTCAAGACTCTCCTGGCCCAGTCGCGCCCCGAGTTGAGCTGTTTGTCGGGCACGTCTGTGAATTAGTATGGTAAAGACCTTCGACCAGCTCTGATATCTGTGAGTTGAGGACTCTGGATCGTGTTCCAGGGCTTCGATCAGCGTGCCAATCGTCTACCTGTCCGTGCTTTCGCCCTTCGGTGCTCACGGATATGGCATTCAATTCTGTTGGTGAGAAAACAGAGCCTCATTGACTCATTGATGTATTTGTGTTCGCGAACGTTGTCCGCGGAGTGTTGAGCTCCGAGGTCATCTCCACATTAGTATCCTGGATGGCTCAAGTTTTCCGATGACCCCCATGCCTCTTTTTTCCACGTCCTGCTCAGAGCTGAGGGGATCTGGAATCGTCATCCATGGCCTCGATCAGCGTGCCAATTGTCAGCTTTGCAGTTTTTTCGCCCTTCAGTGCTCACGGATATGGCATTAAAATCCCGCGGCGAAAAACAAGATTGAGCCACAGTGTGATTTCGCATCGAGGCAGGAGTCGTTTTATCGACATGCAGCGTGCTACACGTACGCTAAAATTTTGTCCGCAACTGTTTTTTCATACCAGAAATTTCATCATACGCATGTTACCAACTGAGTAGTAACTGCCACACTTGTGGGGGGGAGCAGAACAGCGCGCAGGGTCTCTTCGATGGCCACGCCTTTCGAGAATTGAAGCCCCGATGCGATTATCCTGCCTTGCTTTGCAAGGCCATTTGGATCCGATCGATCCGATTCGATGTTGATTTTAGCCAGCCCGAACCGATTCGAATCGCGATGTCCTGACGGTCCGGTGCGGCTCGATGTTTGTATGGCGTTGCTCTGTATAGTGGAGCAGCCGATTTGATCCTGGTTCCGTGCCGACGCGGTTCATTCCGAAACAAGTTCCGATTATATTTTTGTTCGACTCGATGTGGATTGATCCTTACATCCTGTGGCAGAGGCGATAAGCCGCCGGCTGGACATGCTCGCGAACCACATGGGCCTGGAGAGCCCCGTTTGCACGCCGAGGTCAGGCCCAGAGGTGCACGCCAGCGGCAGCAAGCGGCGGCCAATCGCGCGCGGCGCCACGAACATCGGGTACAGCCAGGACCCAGGTGAGGGGGGAGCCGGTGAGTGGTTGAACGCCGAAGTCCGAAATATGGACTGGAATCATTGAGGCAGGTCTGCCGTAGCTGATGTTTTTCGGGCGACGGCAGTTCTGGTTACGGTAGGTTCGCGCTCGTCGTGTCGACTGGCGGCGACCCCGCCGCCAGCGTTCAACGTTGAACGCCGCCTGTGGCCCAGAATCTGTCGATGTTGAACGGTCTGACGTTTCGAAAATGGCCGATCGCTCAAGGTTGAACGATCCCCGCGGCGTCAGAAACCAACGCCGAAGTCGGCACGACACGAACTTGCCGTAGTGGGATGGGGCCGGGGGGGGGGGGGCGTTCCCCGGTACACATCGCTAAACCAGGCCCCACTGACATCCAGGGCGGCCAGGACCCGCCCCTCCGTACCCCCTGGTGTCCTGCTGTCTTCGGCGGTTTTCTCGGCTGCATGTGGCCGGGGCGCAAAGGAGGGGAGGGGGAGTAGAAGGAGGAGGAGGAGGAGGAGGAGGAGGAGGAGGAGGAGGAGGAGGGAGGAGGGAGGAGGGAGGAGAAGGAGGAGGAGGGGGAGGCTCAGGAGCGACCCTGCTTCTTAGAAGGCGCTGGCCGTGTCTGCAGATGTAGGGTCGGCGCCTTCTAAGAAGCAGCTTCCTTCTAAGAAGCCGTCCCCCCTCCCCCTACCACCCTGTGCGTGCCGCCAAATTCCGCCGACCCCCACAAGGAGTGAGTGTTCGAGACGATCGTGGAAGTTATATCTCGGGTCATGAGACTCTTGGATGCATATGGAGGGCTCTTGGAGTGCTTCTAGGGGGCCTCCGGGAGGGCTTTTGGGGGGGCCTCTGGGGGGCCCTTGAGAGCTTCATTCATGGAGGTCTCTTTGGGGCGTCTTGGGAGCCGCTTGGACGGCTTTGGGGGCTTCTTTGTGGGCGCGTGCAGTAGGGGGTTCCATCCGGTGCACCTCGGCGAGAGCTGTCCATAGGCGCCAAGCCGGAGCCGTCCCGAGCGGCCGCCGAAGACCCGAGTCATGGCCCGAAGGCCAGCAGGGGGGCGTTGGCGGGGGTCGGCCAATCCCATCTCGTTTGCCCAGGTTTGGGATCAATGTGGAGCCGACTCACCACTTTCCGCGAACCCGGTGCTGCGACTACTAAGCTACGCGGCTGGCTGGGTTTCGCGGCATGGCTTTGGCTGCCCCGGGGTAGCTTTGACCCAGGACTGCGTGTCCCCGAGTCAGAGATCAAGGCGGGTGGTGTTCGTCCAGGATCGTTTCTGCGCCGCAGGGCCGTCAACAAAACGATCTCGGGCAAAAAGGCGCCCCCTGGGAGCGATCTATAAGTCTGCCCCCCGTATCAAAACAACAAATTTTCATCGGAGACATGGGTACTCATCCTCGTGTTGTTATTCTCGCTTCCTGGCCTTCGGACCCCTTCTCATCGTCACGGCCGGACGCAGCCTTCGCTTGGAAAGTTGGCCAGGATGTATTGTGGGAGGGGTCTGGGGGCCGATTCTGAGTGGGATCAGGCCAGGGGCCGAGCAGCGTCCGTTCATGTCTTCGGCGTAACAGTTTTGTGTTCACGTGCGCCATGATTATCATTATTGCTGCTCTGGCCCTTACCCTATAACGCGGTTTGTTTGCGATCCGTTTCCCGTAGTCCAAGGGGCGTGCAGCAATGCTCGCGATTACGTTGGGGTGCTCAGTGTTGTGATTATTTGGATGTAATGTAAATATGAAATTCAATTAGCATGCAGCGATATACAGCCACACATCATAACAATGATAAGAATATGGATGGGAAGGATCATAATGATCATATTAGAAAGAGCGTGTTCTACCGCTGCTGGCGGAAAACCGGGGGGGTCACTACCGGTTCGAACCCCTCCCCCCCCCTCCGGAAAACCGGGGAGGGTCACTATTGGTTCGAACCCCTCACCCCCCCCAGTTCATCATGAAAAGTGGTGGGGGGTCACTACCGGTTCGGACCCCCCCCCCCTTCTCGAACTCGAAAACCGGGGGGGGTCACTACCGGTTCGACCCCCTCCCCCCCCCCCCCTCGAAAACCGAGGGGGGGTGCGGACAGTGGTGGGGACGGTGGTGGTGGGGACAGTGGTGAGGGGACAGCGGGACAGTGGTGGGGACAGTGGGACAGCGGTGGGGACGGTAGTGGTGGAGACACTGGTGAGGACAATGGTGGGAACAGTGGGGACAGTGGGACAGTGGTGGGGCCGGTGGTGGTGGGGACAGTGGGAATGTGGTGGAAACAGTAGGACAGTGGAGGGTACAGTGGTGAAGGCGGTGGCGAGGACGGCGGTGGGACAATGGGACAGAGGTACAGTGGGGACAGTGGTGGGGACAGTGGTGGGAACAGTGGGCCAGCTCAGTGGGACAGCGGAGGAGTCAGTGGGACAGTGGGGACAGTGGGGATAGTCGGGCAGTGGTTGGGGCCGTGGAGAAAGTTGGGAGAGTGGAACCGTGGTGGGAACAGTGGTGGGGACAGTGGGGACAGTGCGACAGTGGTGGTGGCACTGGTGGGGACAGTAGGGGCGGTGGTGGAACCAGTGGGGACAGTGGTGGTGAGGATAGTGGTGCTGGGAACAACAGTGGGGGATGTGGTGAGGACGGTGGTAGGGACCAGGAGTCGTTTCCTGGCGGTGAGAGGGGGGGTGGGGAGGGGTTCGAACCGGTAGTGACCCCCCTTTTCGAGGGGGGGGGGGGTTCGAACCGGTAGTGACCCCCCCCGGCTTTCGAGGGGGAGGGGAAGGGGGGGGGGGGGGGGGAGGGGTTAGGGGAGGGGGGGTTTTGCCGGGGAAGAGGAGGGGGGGGGGGGGTTGCAGCAGGGGGGGAGGGATTTTCGGAGGGGGGGGGGGGGGGAACCCCGGGCTCCGGGAGGAAAAGTCGGCAATTTTCCGCAGTAAAGCGGCGGTGGATCACGCTCTCTCTCATATTAAGAACATGGTTATGATACATGTTATTAGTAACACAAGTTCTACAGCTACTTACATTCGTAAAAATATTACGAAAACACATACTATAAATCAACATTATCATCACCACCATCATCAACATCATCATCATCAGCATCATCAGCATCATCATCAGAATTATCACCACCACAACTATCATCATCAGCATCAACCATCATTCAACATTCACCATTCACCACTCATCATCGTCATCATAATCTCCACCATCGTCTTCATCATCATCAGCAGCATCAGCAGCATCATCATATTCATCATCATTTCCATCATCATAATCATCCTCATCATCACCATCAACAGCATCATCACCATTATCAGCATCATCAGAATCACGACCATTATCTCCATCCATCACCGTCATCTTCATCATCATCACCAGCACGCCCATAATCAATTTGCCATATTGTCATCAGCGTCTCCATCGCCGTCGTCGACAACAACGCAAAACTTAGTGAATTCACTCGTTCTAATACAGATTTGAGTAACAGGCATACCTGTGAGAGCCGAATAATGCCAAAACAAATTCTCGCCATCAAACTCATCGAAAAGATACCTGCCAAACCTTCCCCGGAAGGGAACGGAAGGCAGAGGGCCGGGCTAATTTGGTTGAGTGGTTTCCAGTCGGGTTGAGTAGTCCTTACGTGGTTGTCCCCATGATATTTCCCAGGAGTTGTTTCCGAAAGGTCTGGGGCCGACGACAGCCGACGACGGACGGACGGACGGTTGATGGACAAGATCTTGCACCACCCGCGCGAGCGGGGTTCCGGTGCAAATTTCAACATATGCCCGTGCCCACGATTCAGTGTTGGTTGGTATCGCCAGCGAGGCGCAGGATTTCGGCCAGTCGACAGATGGGCACATCGCGGCGCAGCCCGCCTATATGAAATTGAAGGCGCGGTTTTTTGGTAGTCCGCATAAAAGGTGCAAAATGTTGTCCACCAGACGGCCCAGATTTCCGACGCCGTGGTTTTCTCACAGCGCGGGCCACCAGAGGTCTCGACCCCTTCCAGGGGACCGGCTTTTCTTCACAAGCCGCTTCTCGAACGTCCCAGGGCCCGATGAACCAGGCAGTGCAAAGGGGGGTCGCAGTTCGGAGGGTCGGCCAGCCGTCCTGGGTTCACGACGCGGCCGTGGCTCCCTGGCTGATTCCGCAGCAGGGCGAGACTGCGCCAGCGTGTCGGCCGGCAGCATCGCTGCTCTTGGAGTAATTTTTGCGGCCGTCTCCTTGGCTTGGCATCGCTCGGACGTGTGCATTTTTCCCAGCTTGACTCCTACTCTTACTCCTATATGTGCGATTCGGCCAGCTCCTGCTGAAAGTTGAGGTTTGAGGATCCAGGGCCGAGAAGATTTTGGACGACCTGGACAGTTTTTTGAGGGGGCCTGCGAGGTCCCGAGGGTCCAGGCTCCTCGAGGAGGTGGCGGCCTCCCTGAGAATACGCCCCCCGGCGCCGCCGGAGTAGTGGCACCCAGAAGCCTCGACGCCCCGCGGCAACGACGAGGACGGCGAACACGACGAGAGCGGCGAGAACGACGAGGACGAGGAGGAGGAGGAGGAGGAGGTTGTGTTCTCGGAGCGTCGGGCCTCTGGGCCCGACGCCCCCCCCCCCCCACCCACGGCCAGGGGGTGGCGCGAGGGGGGCGGCCTTCGAAGAAGGCGGGGGGGTGGGCTTCTGATGAGTCGGGGGTGGACAGAACCCCCAGCAGTGACACGTCGATCAGTGAATTGTCCGTTTTCGGTTCTCGAGATGGCGCCGTGGCCGTTCTTTTCCAGGCTTGCGCCCGCCAGGTTTGGGCCTCAGGTCGTTTTCACTAAACCACGCTTTACTGAAGGGGGGTCTGTCCATCCCCGAATGAGGCAGGCGGCAGGCGGCCTCTCGGGAGGCCTGCCAGCTCCCCAGAAGCCTCTTCAGGAGCACCGGGGCGATTCCGAGAAGGCCCCCAGCTTCTGCTTCGGAGGCCCCCGTGCCTTCTCGGAAGGCTCCCCCCCACATGGCACGCGCCGACGCAGCCTGAAGATGGCCGAAAAACGGGCCGTCGTGATTTTTGCCGTGGCGGCGCAGGAGGCCCCCTGACGTGCGCCGACACGGGTTGCGTTTCCAGCCGCGGCCCCCGACGTCCCGACCGCCTCCCTGGGGGGCCGTCTCTCGTCCCCGATGCGGTCGGACCGAAGTGTAAGATCGAGGTCGGTTCGGGGAGGGTGCCCTGCTGTTCTTGGGGAGGGTGCCCTCGAGTGCCCTTCGGTTTGGCGGGCGGAGGGTCTAATGTTCTTGGAGGATGCTCTTATGTCCTAGGTCCGACCGTGCGATTTTGATAGCGACGGGACTCGACAATGGCCTCTCGGGGGTTCGTAGAGGGGGGGTTGTCCCAAGGTGGAGTCAGGGAACGAGTCCAATTGGATGCTCGCATGTCCTTCTTCCAGAGGCCGTTTGGATGTATTGTCTTCCCAGCCCCACCTCTGCCCCAACCCCAGCTTTTCGTCCCGCCGAGCCCCCGAGGGCCGAAATCGTGGAAAACTTGCCGGTCGAACGAATCACATCGCTGGAGCTTCGGGAATTTTCCGTCGTGGTTTTTGCAGCGGCGGCGAGGGATGTCCGGGGACGGCGGCCGCCGGCAGGACCTTGCCGGGCCGCCTGGCGACGCGCGCCCGCAGAGCGCGAACAGCCGCCGCAGCGGTCCCTTGGTGTTCAGCCATCGTGACGCCTCGGTCGCCCCGCACGCGGATCACAGGAGCCGCGGCCGCCAAATTTGGAGGTCGAGAGTGATCCGACGTCTTCTCGGGCGGGCGGCAACAGATGTGGGGGGCGTTGAGGGTTGCAGGAAAGTGATCCCGCCGTGGTGTCCTGGCCGTGGTGTCCGCGGCGTTATCCCGTCGGTGTCCGCGGCGGTGGCCAGGGGTGTCCCGTCGGTGCTCCGTCGGTGTCCGGTCGGTGTCCCGTCGGTGTCCCGTCGGAGTACCGTCCGTGTCCCGTGGGTGTCTTGTCGGTGTCCCGTCGGTGTCCCGCTGTGAGTGTCCTGTCGATGTCCCGTTGGTGTCCCGTTGATGTCTTGTCGGTGTCCGGTCGGTGTCCCGATTGGTGCCCTTTTGGTGTCTTTGTGCTTTTGCGATGATGATGATGATGATGATGATGATGATGATGATGATGATGATGATGATGATGATGATGATGCTGATGATCATGATCATGATCATGATCATGATCATGATGATGATGATGCTGACGATGACGATGATGATGATGATGAGGATGATGATGATGATGATGATGATGATGATGATGATGATGATGATGCCCTCGATGATGTGTTTCCGATTGTGTTTCCATGATATGTTTGTGGCCGGTTCGTGTCTAGATGGTTTCCACTGAGATCCATAGTGAGACTTGGGGGACGGGTTCGAAGTGAACCAGAGATTGCGACCACTCATCGCAGTGCAGCCGACTGAGGGATCGATAGTGAGATCGAGCGAGTGAGATCGAGCGAGTGAGGTCGATCGAGTGGGGTGCATAGTGAGATCGATTGGCATTTGTGATTCACCAGCACCGAGGTCGATAGTGAGATCAAGTGAGGTCGCTAGAGTGAGGTCGATAGAGTGAGATAGGTAAAGTGAGATCGATACAGAACGATCGGTAGAGCGAAATCGATAGAGGGAGATTGATAGCGAGTTCTATATTGAGGTCGATAGTCAGAGCGGTATTGAGACCGATAGTGAGATCGGCGGTGGGATCAATTAAGTGAGACGTTGGTTCCGTCCCCGCCCCCACAATATCCTTATCACCCAAAAGGTGGTCGTATAGGTATGATCGTGGTGGCACTGATGATGCCGATGATTACGATCTATATGGTGTTGAGGTTGATTCTGGGTGAGGAGGTCGAGGAACATGCAGAAGAGGACCAACCAAACCGTGATATGTGTCACCTCGGCCGTGTGCAGTTAATCTTGAAATTATCATTTAGCTTATTGGGGTTTTCTTGGGCTGTCTCAGGCTTCACTGGGGCACTAGTCTCCTTTGGTTGATTCTTGCCGTTTTGAGGCCCTACATGCGTATCGGAGGTCGGGGAGTGAGATCGAAGTGGAACGGAGAGCACCACCAGGAAATCGGTTTCGAGTTCGGGTTCGTGTCGTGTGTACGGGCCAGGCGCAGCTACGTGGGCGGGCGAGAGGAGTGAATCCTCCTCTGGCCAGGGCGCGGCGAGGGCAGAAGTCCGCCCCCCCCAGGCCGCGCGGCGGGCGGGTTCCGGGGGTGTCTCGCCGTGGTGTCCCGACGATGTCCCGTGGTGTCCCGTGGTGTCCCGCGGTGTCCAGCCGTGGTATCCCGATGGTGTCCCAATGGTGTCCCGTAGTGTCCCGCGGTGTCCCGCAGTATCCCGTAAGATCGATAGAGTGAGAGGTCAATAGTGGGATCGATTGTGAGGTCTATAGTCAGATCGATAGTGAGGTTTGTAGTCAGATCGATAGTGAGATCGATAACGAGATCTATAGTAAGATCGATCGTGAGATTGACAGTAAGATCGAGCCTCCCCAGAGCACTTAAATCGAAGAGGAGTTAAAGCGAACTCCCTTGGAGCAGTAAAATCGAGCCTCCCCGGAGCAGTTAAGGCGAACCCTTAGAGCGGCACAGAGCAGCTCAGAGCGGCCCAGAGCAGTTAAAGCGAGCTTCCTTGGAGCAGTTGAATCGAGCCTCCCTGGAGCAATTAAGTTGAGTTCCCGATGAAATGACACTCGATGCTCAACTTCCGTAGCTGCGTTACCAACGGCTATGACTGAGCCAGTAAGATGTTGCAGTAAAGAGCGCGTAAAGGACATCCGCACGTACTTAGGTTACCCGCGCAAGTCGCGCGGAAACGCTTTCTTCTCAACGCGCGCGTAAGCCGCGGCGTAAGGTCGCAACGTTTCCTTGCGTATGACTGTTTTGCGTTCGTCGCTCACTTGGTCCCCCTCCCACCTCTGGGGCTGGGCCAAAGAGCTCCAGCTCCCCATTCGTGAGGACGTCTCGCAGGAAGGATGCGGAAAGTATACACAGTCCCCCAGAACCGACGTCACGTCGTGTTTTCTGTTTTCACAGCGTAACGTCGACCCCCAGAGGTCTGGACCCCTTCCACGGGATCGGTTTGTCATCCCGGATCGTTTTTTGTTACGGTCTTGTGCCACAGAGGCCGAAAACAAACACACACACACAATCAAAACCCGTCTGTCGCTATTCCCAACCATCCTGCCCCTCCCGCTGCCCAATTCTCTCTTCCCCACCAAACCACTCATTGCCTCTGACGCCCCCTCCGTGCCTCTGCTCTCCGCGTATCGATTTCGGCACACCCATCACTCGCTTCGTGGCCCCACGGGGAGCTCCACCGAAGACCCCAGTTGCAGGGTTCGCATGCGGCTCCCCGCCCGATCCGGCAAAATCCTCACACGTTGCGTGGCCCAACAGGGTGCTCCATCGAAGGCCCCAGTGGCAGGGTTCGCATGCGGCTTCTCGCCCATGTCGGCACACACATTCGGTGGCCTCACAGGGAGCTCCACCGAAGGCCCCAGTGGCAGGGTTCACATGCGGCTCCCCGTCCATTCTGGCCCCCCCCCTCACACGTTTCGTGGCTTCATAGGGAATTCCTCCGAAGGCACCAGTTGCATGTTTCGCGTGCGGCACCCCTCCCATTTCGACACACCTTTCACATGTTTCGTGGCCCAAAGGGGTGCTCCACCGAAGGCACCAGTTGCATGTTTCGCATGCGGCTCCCCGCCTATTTTGGAATACCTCATACGTTTCGTGGCCCCATAGGGGGCTTCACCGAAGACCCCTGCAGCACAGTTCACATGCGGCTCCCCGCCTACTTCGGCACACCCCTCGCACGATTCGCATCCCCACAGGGAAACTGCACTGCAGGCCCCAGCTGCTCAGCTCGCATGCCTCCCCAGGCCCATGTCGGCACACCCTTCACACGCTTCTTATCCCCAAAAGGAGCTCCACCGAAGTCCCCAGTTGCAGGGTTCAGCATGCGCCTCCAGGCCCATGTCGGCACAGCCTTCACACATTTCGTGGCCCCACAGGGAACTCCACTGAAGGCGGTATTCACAAGTGCGGTGCTCACAGTTGCATCTGGTTGGGTTCTTCGCCAGGATTTTTTTTCACGACGAGGTTGGGGTCGTTGACTCTCCTGTGTCGCCGCGATTCTAGCCGCCTCCCGAGCAGGCGCGGAGAGAGTCCGATCCCTACTGGCTCCTTCGACATGTTGCTCCCGTCGGACTGACCCCTTGTGCGAGCCACGCGCGGCCTGGTTTGTCCTCGCCCTCGTCCTTCTGCTTCTCCGACTTGGGCGTTGCATCATAAATCGTGCCAGCTGATATTTCGATGCGTTTAGCTTCTGGAGACTATTTAACTGACGTCGGGACCGTTTGGAAACGCTTCAGCATAAAATGCCGGCCCCGGGGGAGGGAGGGTCGATTTCCCGGGGCCGTATTTGAAGGCAAAAGCATGGCATCGGGGGTCTTGGTCATTCTATTCATCCCTCGTCCCCTCTTGATCCTCTTGCTTTCACAGCCAATCCCCACCCTCAGCCGCCGCCGATTCTTTCTCCACCTCCTCCCCTCATTATTGTCCTCCTCCTTCTCCTTCTCCTCTTCGTCATCGCACTTCTCATGCTCGCCTTCCCCGTCCTCGTCCGCCCGATGAACTTCCTCGTGTCTCTTCTCGGCTCATCTCGACAGTTACACTTTATGAATACTACGTTCCTCTCTCCCCAAATCTGTGCTGAGAGTGTGCGTTCCCCCTCCGCGTGCATTTTTTACACACCAGGTTTGTCGAACTGGTTTTCCATTTGGTATGCTAAAATCAGATTTTTACAAGTTTTTCAAAAATGGTGCTCATGCTGTAGCGTGGGCCTCAGTTTCGGATCGGCGCTGCGCTCCCGTCGTTCAGAATGGCGCTCCCGCACCAGCGCGGGCCACATTTCTGGTTTCCACAGGTCTCGCAGGTCTAGCAGGGCCCAGAGGTCCCACAGGACCCACAAGTGCTGCAGGTCGTCCTGGAGGTCCCACAGGTAGCACCGGTCTGACAGGTTCCACAGGTCCCACAGATCCCACAGGTGTCGCAGGTCTCTTATGCCCCACAGGCTCCACGGGTCCCGCAGGTCCCGCAGGTCCCAGAGGTGTTGCAGGTCCCACAGAGACCCCCCAGGTCCCACAGGTCTGGTATGTCCCGCCAGTGCAACGGGTCCCACAGGTCCCGCAGGTTTCACGGGCCCCACAGTTCCCACAGGTCCCACGGGTCCCACAGGTTCCACAGGTCCCACGGGCTTCGCAGGTCTCACAGGCCCCACAGGCCACTGAGGTCCCCCGGGTCGCGCAGTTCCACAAGTTTCTTTTTTCCGATTTGCCATCACGCGACGGGGTTCTTACGGAATGCCAGGTCGGCTATGACACGCGCCCGCGGATAAATAATAATCAGCACAATGGGAAGGGATGGGAGGGAGGGATAATGGATGATGATGATAAAAAAATGACCGGGGGTCGTGTTCACGCGGCGGCGCCGGGGATGATGATTAGAAAAAAACGGCCCCGGGCTGGGAAACTATTTTTTTAATCGTCCCCCCCCCCCCGCCGTCCTCGAACGCGCGCCCCCCCCGCGGTGGAAGTTTCCCTGAGCTTCGTCACACGGTAGCTCTGCCTGTGTGGTCGACACAGGCGGGCGCCTTCTTTGACCCTCGTCAAAGGGGAGCGCTGCCTGCGTGGTCGTCACAGGTGCGCGCTTTCCTTGCGCCTCGTCACAGGGGAGCGCTGCTTGTGTGGTCGTCACAGGCGGGCGCTTTCCTTGCGCTTCGTCACAGGGGAACGCTGGCTGTGTGGTCATTGCAGGCGGGCCCTGTCTTTGAGCCTCGGCACAGGGGAGCCCTGCTTGTATGGTCGTCACAAAGGCGGGCCCTCTCATTCAGATTCCACACAAGGGGGCGCTGCCTGTGTGGTCGTCACAAAAGCGGGCCCTCCCCTTGTGCCTCGTCACAACGGAACGCTGCCTGCGTGGTCGTCACAGGCGGGTGCTTTCCTTGCGCCTCGTCAAAGGGGAGCGCTGCCTGTGTGGTCGTCGCAGGCGGGCCTTTTTTGTTGAGCCTCGACACGGGGAGACCTGCTTGTGTGGTCGTCGCAGAGGCAGGCCTTCTGTGACGACCGCACAGGCGAGCCCTGCTTCTGAGCGTTCCCCCCCGGTGTGGGAAACTATTTGTTTTATCGTTCCCCCCTTTTTTTTAACCGTCATCCCACATTAGGATGTCAGATATGGAGCGAGCGCACTTAGTTTGACTCATCTTTGCTTTCGCCTCCTCCTCCCCCTCCTCCTCCTCCTCCTCCTCCTCCTCCTCGCTTTCTCTCATCCCCTTTCCTCTTTGTTCCTCATCTCTTCTCCCTCGAGCTGTCTCTCCTTGTTCCTCCTCCCTTCTCTTTCCCTTCTATTTCTCCTCCCATATTCCTCCTTCCTTTCTTCTCCCCCTTCCCTCCTCTTCCCTTCTTCTTCTCCTCCCATCTTCCTCCTTCCTTTCTTCTCCCCCTGCCCTCCTCTTCCCTCCTCCCTGGAGGAGGATGATTCGCGGGGCCACGCTCGCCCAAGCCGTTCCGAGATTACGCAAAATTGCATCATGCAGGAAAGCGCACCTACCCCGGAAAAGGCGGAGGAATTCTTTCGTTGGGCGTCGCTCAGTGGGGGGCGATGAATTGGAGAGGAGAAGCGTGTACCTTTCGGGCCTGTGAGGGCCCCTTGCTAAGGCCCTGAAAGGCCCTTGTTCTGCAGCCTTCGCTGCCCCCAGCTATCGCCCACCCACTACGCGACGCCCAAGTTAATCATCGTGATCTTCAAGGATGGCGACGGGTGTGTCCCATCAAACGACAGACCGATCGCCATCATCCCACTGTTGTGCAGGCTGTTCAGCTGCCTGCTTAGGCGGCGTCTGGCCCCGCTCCTGGAAGGAAAGCGCAGTGTCCCGACCAGGCAGAGTTCCGAGCGGGGGCTGGCGTAGAAGGCCACGGGGGCAGCCGCTATGGATCGCAGCGTCGGGTTCCAAGAAAGCTTTCGACAGCGTTTCTGACCACAGCGTCTGTCGGGGGCAACGATAGGGGGGATAGGCATAGGGGGGGATGCATCGACCCCCAATCGTTGCCTTTCAGTCTGGTTTGCCCTGATGAATCAGAAGGTTCCCAAATCGCACGTCTGTCCCCTGCAGAGATTATACGAAGGCCGGACAGGGTCGGTGCACCCCCAAAAAGGCAGCCGGTGCTTCCCGATCCGGCGCCGGGCAAACCCATTGAACGCTTTCTTGTTCAACGTTGTGTTTGAATATGTTTTTGGGTCCGTTGGTCCGCTTGCACGAAATGTGAAACCACTTGGGTCGCCTTGCCGGTTGGGGACGCTGGGTTTACAATTCTCCGGTTCGCCGATGGCGTCTTGCTGGGAAGCTCCTCCCTGCGAGATATCAAAGCCATGCTTGCGGACGCGGCCAAAGAGCGCGCAAATGGTGAACTGACCTTACACCTGGGGAGGTCAAGGCACTTCGCTCCAGCAGCATTTTCCTTGGAAGCGCGAAACAATACATATATACATGTACACCATCGGCGAGACGAGTTGTCGCGCGCGCGCGATGTCAAGCGCCCCCATGGCCGCAAAATTGTTCCAGGTTGGCCTGGGGCCACAGACGATAACGTCCAGACGACCATTGGATGACGCCACCCCATCGCGATCCCGCCGTGGATTCTGGGCCGTCTCAGGCCGATTCGATGAAGACCAAACACATAAGCCACGAATGGTGTCGAGAGTGCTGGATGGCAACAAGATAGATCCACACGCGCCCAGGGTGGCAACATAATGATCGCGCGACGGCTGTGCGGCCCAACATGACCAGGAGATAATTGCAATCTGACCCCATGACGATCCTGACACGGCAGGAATGCTGCAACTTCGGGGCCCCGCCCGATTTCGAGACGATCCCAGCATGGCTGGATCCGTGAAGGACCCGGGATATTTGTTCACCTGACTTCTAATAGGTGGGATTGTAGTCTGGCTGAACTAAAACAATAATATTGAACGGGAGTAATTTCGGCGGGGCCCCGCCCCGCCCACGGCAGAAGACTACGTTGCTAGGCTTCAACGGGGGTAGGGGAGTTCGGACTGGGCGTCATTTACTCCCGCTGTCTTCCGCAAGTTTTCCGACGGCCTTCCGCCGTCTTCCGCCGCGTCTTAATCCCGTCGGCTTCCGCTCGCGGGCGTCGTGGCGAAAATTCAAGGAACTTGCATGGGGCCGATGTGGTGGCGAACGTGCGGGCGAGACATGGCGACGCCGCGCTACAATCCATCGTCTCCGCGAGCTCGCAGATAGAGTTGATCAAAAGATCTACCTCGACAAAGTATTAGAAACGACAGATCACATGTCAGGCCACGTTCCACATATACGCGCAGTCGCACGCAAGGTGCTCGGCGGCAATTTCACGCTGTCAGGGGCGAGCTGGCGAACAAAACCGACCAGCTGTGGGCCAGGCTGCGTTTGTTCGAAAGCGCCATCACCCCGCGCGCCCTCCACGGTTCCTCCTGCTGGACGCTAACAGTGGGCATCGAATGTGCTCTGCTAAGACGGAGAGGCAGATGATGCGGATGATAATCCGGCCAGGACAGCTGTGCAGGAACATGCGCGATCCTTCCAGCAGCGATTCCGATCTAGATATGCACACGGGCGACGATAGCGAGGACGTTGAGTTCTGGGTTGAATGATTGAAGCGAACGGCCCGGGCTGTTCAGGGGCAGCTTGGATTTCTGGATCGAGAATTGGGCTGTCTGGCGCAGACGAAACAACTGGAGACACGCTGGAAAGACATCGAGGCAGGATCTGTCCAAATGGTCTTTCATAGCATTACAATGGAAGCCGCGGCGGACGCAGCAGAAACTGGGCCGAGTCGGAAGACCTTCGCGGGGGCGGGATGATGATTCCAATGTGATGCGGACTTGTTCTCGAGATTCCAGTGACGGAAGTTCGGGGGGCATTGCCGGGGCATTTGAAGCATGGTATATTTTGGGCGGTGATTTCGAAATCTCCCCGCGCCGGGGCCAGCCCGCGTGGCTGGGCTCGGCGAGAAAAGAGAGAGAGCCCCCCATCAAGCCAGAAGGGGCCCAGGCGGTTTTCTCTGGTTGGCAGCCCCGAAGGACCTGTCGCTGGAGGCGCGAGCACAGCTGGCGGAGGTCGCAGCTCGTCTTTCTGCATCCCTCCGTGGCTGAGGC